TTGCGGTGTTACGTTTGATAAAAAAAAAAAAAGAAAAAAAGAAAAAAAGTAATGCGGCGCGCACAAAGCGATGTCTGGCGCGATGCACTATGATCGATCGCGGACGTATATGCACTCTCGTATTTTTAGATGCCGGACTGACAGGTGAGAGATGCATCAGACGGGATCCCTCTTTCCCCGATATTCCGAATTCCGCGAATGCGTCGGATACCTGACAGCGACCCGGCCGAAACCACCTAGCCCGATGCATTAGTTATTCCTGGAGACTATCGCATCCGGTTTTCCATCAATTTCTGCCGAATTATCGGGAACCAAGTTATCGCGGAAATATCTCGAAAACTTTTGCCGACCGAGCTTTTGCTTCGCTTATTCGTCCTTTCGAAATATTCGAGAGATGGCGCATCTTGTGAGATGGGCCGCTATAAAATAAACAATCGTACTCATAGAGGGCGACAAATGTACTCTTGGCCTTGTTCATTTTATACAAAAAAAAGGAAAGTTGAATTCTGAGGAATGACAATTACCTGGAAGTATTCTGGAAGTAAAGTAAAGTAAAAATTTCAAAATGATTCGGATCAAAATTTTTCAAGCACGAGCACAATTCTCCGTGACAAGTCAATGTTCTTAAACGTGTACGTCTAAAGAAATCATTGAAACGATAGATGTAAATGTGTATTGTTTGATGAAAGGATTGGTTTCTTTAATTCGGACAAAAAAAAAAAAAAGAAAAAAGTAGAATTATGTTAAAAACGTACACTTTTAAACGAACTAAAAATTCACGTTTGAAATTATGTACAAATTTGTTGGGGAAAAAATTCATAAAAATTCGTTTCCTTCGGTCCCCTGATTGCCTCCCTCCTGCGTTCCCTCTTAAAGGGACGAGATGATGCACTGTTTGCACTCTAAGATCAAAAGCCTCTCTAAAAATATTGCTCGTCTATTTCGAACTCATGACTTTTCGCGCAAGATCTGAGGAGCGATTTTAAAAATAACCGATCGTTTTACCATTTTTCCGGGTCAACAGATGTTCCATCTTCGATCCTCGAGTCATCTTCTTGTTCTTTCTCGACAGCAAGCATGAAATCGTTACAAATTCTCGAACAACATGTTCGAAACGATTGTCCACATTAACAATTATTCTAAATTAAAACAATCGGCCGATTATTCTCTCTCCTCTCCGCGATATCTCCCAAAATTTTCAACTCTTAGATTTCCAACTTTTATTTCCACGATGAGTACTAAAGAGCGAGTTCTAAATCAAATAATCCATCACCTCCACGGAGATTTCCTTTTGCCTTTACTTTACCAGGATGCATTTTATCGCGATAAAATTGGGTTTTAGAAAAATTTCCACATTCAGGAAGTAATTTCGTCGCGAACGATAATTCTGGGGAAAACAAGAGATATCCTTATTTTCTGCAAAATATGCAGTGTAATAACAGTAACCATTTATTTATTCATTTATTTTGCAAATATCCCCAATATCTCTAACACGTTTAAAAGTAACAAGTTCGAGAATCGTTTCCAAAGATAAGGGAGAATATATTTAAAAAAAAGAGGGAGAGAAATTCAGAATTAACTTCCAACTTGACCAAGGTTTCACCTTTCACCAGGTTTACATCATTTTAGGTTTATATCGTCTCCGTTATCCCTCGAATTGGAGCTTCTCGTCGGAGAGTTTTAATTCCCCGCGTAATTCAAGCGGAATCCTCGGTTCGAGGGTTCGATTCGTTCGAATGTCGTTTGATAACGCGTCTGTCCTCGCGGAAAACGGTTTTCAACCGAGCTGCGGACGCGAACGTGCATTGTGGAAACGTGTCCGGCTCTGCGGGCCGCCGATAGGATTCATGAAAACTGGTCCATAGAAATCCTCGGCAGACTTGGCCGCTCGCGTGGATACGAGGAGGAAACGT